CCCTAAGGTGGTGCCCAGTGTGACGCTGCCAGAGCCCCTGTTGGCAACCATGTTGTGTGGGTACCCCTGGAAAGGGGTACCCCACAACCACTAGAGGGCCAGTGATGCTCCCTCAGTGGTCACAAGCTGGGCATGTTGGTTGAGTGGCATCCTGCCCTGGCCCAGAGGGGTAGGACAGGTTCTGTCCAGCTGCACATGTTGGCCACGTGGGCTCCTGGCTGCTTGCTGCTGCCTGGCCTGGTGGCTGCAGGGGGCTTCCTCTGCCCTGGCCTGATGCCCACGCTCAGTCACCCAAGGCCACGTGGATGCCCATAGAGGACCTAGCACTCCAACACCATCCCGGCCAGGAGGAAGAGGGCAAGGGGTCCCCCGACTCCCCAGTCAGGTCCCTGGGGGACACACCTGCTGGGGCAGGAGGGGGGTTGCAGCTGTTGCCCCGAGCCCGACATGGCCCCCTCAGCAACAGCTGGGCCGGAGACTGCTGAGGCGGGAGAGCCAGGCCCAGCTGCTGCAGAAGCTGAAGGCAGGGGGCGGGAGCCAGCAAAAGCCACCAGAGGCTGCTTGCTGTCCATACCCCAGGCCACGCCCCCCGCCCTGCCACTGCCTTCACAGCCACGGGACACTGTTCTGGACGGTGTTAACTCCCGCATGGCTGACCCCTGCCACCGGGCAGGACCCCAGCAGGGTGGCCTGTTCAGAGGGCATACACACAAGCCTCGAAGTGGCCAGGGTCAGCTCAAGGAAGTTGTGACTGCAAGCTGCAAGCCCACCCCAGTCCCCCGGCTGTGCCAAGGGCTCAGGCCAGGCCCAGGAGCCCCCCGAGGTGGGCAGAGTTCCCCGCTGCGAGCCCAGGGCTCCTGAGACCAGGGGCTGCCAGCCCAAGGGGGCTGGGGGCGTAAGGGCCAGATGGCTGCTGAAGGACATCGCCAGGTGCCCCTTCCTGCGGGAACAGAGTCCAGCAGTCACTCAGGCTGTGCTGGGCTGGAGGCAGGCACACAGCAGGCCTGCCCGCCTGGTCACTGTCCCCGACAGCCGGTTCAGGACAGGACAGCCACCCCGCCAAGGACACACTGGCATGGCCTGGGCTGGGTCCAGCGGCCAGTTTGCTGGGATTTGGGGATTCTGAAGCAGCTGCTGTGGCAGGTGTGCCTGACACGGCCAGGCAAGCCGCCAGCAGCTGTCCCCCCGCCACTCACTAGGCTGAAGGCCGAGGGAGGCCAGTCCCTTACCCCACGAGGCAGCCCACCAGAAACATGCTCGGCTGTCCCCAGGTGCCGCTGTCCCCAGCCCCTGGCCGTGGCCAGGCACCTGGGAACTCAGGTCAAGCTTAGCGAAATACTGAAAGCTACAGGAAGAAACCAGGGGCCTCTGCCGGACGCCTGGGGCCCCAACTGGCCCAGGGTGGGCTCGAGTGCTGAACGTGGCATGCACGCCCCCTAGTGACCCTCTGGAGCATCCAACGCATGCAGGGAAGGGTCCAGAGACGCTACTCAGTAAGGTCCACCTGGACGCAGGGTCAGCAGCCAAGGTGCAGCAGGGCCCCACGGGAGCATCCTGAGCTGGGCTCTGACGAGGGTCCCTGGGACTCGGGGAAGGGGCCAGGAGTTGCACACTGGCTTGGGCAAAGCCAGTCCATGCCGCTTCCCACCATACCTGGTCAGGTGTCCAGGACCCCAACAGAGGGCAGAGCCAGGGGTGGCAGGACTGGGAGGACTCACACCAGCAGTAGGGCTTTCCAGCAGCTGCCAGCTGTATTCCCAGTGCTGGGGGGGTTCCCAGGAGGGTCCATTGCAGGCTGGACAGGCTCCTCCTGGCCAGTGCCTAGGACCCAGGCTCCCTGGGGCACACAGATTCCATCGAGGGGTTGGGGGGCAGGAGGCCATGTCTGCGGGGTGTCCCTGGGAAGTGCAGGATAGCCCGCTCTCCAGGCCTTGTCCAGAAGGGTCCACAGCTGTGGGAGACCTCCCTGGGTAGGCTGCCCACCGGCAACCCCCATTGGCACGCTGTGCCCAGCCACACAGTGATGTGTCCACCAGATGGCGGCAGAGGCCGGCCCCAGGTCCCTGTGACTTGACTCGGATCCATCCTGCGGGGTCTGCGCTCCCTCCACGCCCCTTCACACCGCACCTGCAGGATCGCGGGGGAAGAGGTGGCGGGCAGCCTGGGCCTGGGTGAGAGCAGGAGACTGCCACCGCCACCACCCAGACCAGATAAGGTCCAGGCAGGGGGTCCAGGAAGCCTGAGAGGAAGGGGGTGCGAGGGTCCTAGGTGGGAGACCAGGTGCAGGGGTCCTGGGAAGAGGCCTGAGCCGCCTGTGGGTGGACAGAAGGCACAGGCTGAGGCCAGCACCCCCAGAGACCAGGTCCAGCTCCCTACCAGGCCCTGGGTGCAGGCAGGGAGGGCGATGGCCCTGTCCCAGCGCTTCCCCCACCCCAACCACAAGCCGGTGTCCTCTGTGCACACCAGGTTCCCTCCAGGAGAACCCCTGGGTCCCAGCTCTACCCCAAGCCCAGCAGCCTCCCAGCACAGCTCCCACCACGTGTGCAACAAGCCAGGTGGGAATCCCACGGCTGAAGGGGCAGGGGCTCCACACCTCCTCTGGCCATCAGGGCCTGGGGGGTCGTCAGGGCCTGGGGGTCAGCCTTGGGAGGGGACCAGGGTGTTGGGGCACGGCTGGGCCTCACCGCCCCACTGCAGGCAGGGGCAAGGGGTTGGGGCCCAGCCACCTGCACACATGGTCATCACCAATCAACCGGAAGTCTGGGGGAGGGCCCAGGCTAGGGAGGGGGACTCTGCTGGAGTCCTGGGCCCTGCAGCTCCAGCCCCCTGTCAGCTCACCCCGCTCCCCACCAGGGAGTCGCCAGAGCCCCCTCCCCATAGCTTTTGCTCAGCGACGGAGACCGGGAGCCCCCGGCCAGAGGGTGGCCAGAGACCAGGAGGGGACACACCCGGCTGTCACAGGGGCCAGGGGAGAAGGGAACTTACTGCTGGGTAACCAGTCTGCTCCCCGGCCCCGCTCCTGTGTGCGCCCCCAACTCTCGGGCGCCCCGCCCCCAGGCACCCCACTCTCGGGCGCCCCGCCCCCAGACCCCCATTGTCAGGCTCCCCTGCCCCCAGGCACCCCACTCTCGGGCGCCCCACTCCCGGGAGCCCCCCACTCTCGGGCGCCCCGCCCTCTGGCGCCCCGCCCCGCCCCGCCCCGCGGCTCCCCGAGAGAGCGCAGCAGCGCGGCGCGGGACCGGCTCTGCAGCCGAGGTGAGCGCCCCCCGCCCGGCCTGGCCCCGCGCGCCCTCCGCCCTCGCTCCTTGGCTGTGTCCCGGCTCCCAGCTTCTCTTCCTGCTCGCCGACCCCGACTGCTGGGACTCTCGGTTCGCGTGGGCATCCTGGGTCGAGGGGAACGGGGCCGCGACGGAGGGATTTAAGGCCCAGGAGGGGGTCGGTGCGAGAAGCGGGTCCCGCGGGAGCACAGAAGGCTGGCTGTCCACCCGGTGCGGGGAGGTCGGTGTTGCGTAGTCGGCTGGGTGCGGGAGGACTGCGGAGAGGATGCGGCCAGTGCCCCCAGACCCTGCCCCAGGTGGCTGGGTTCTCTCTTGCCGACCCCCCACACCCCAGAGTAGTGGTCCCCCAGGGGTCTTGTCAGGGTCCTCCCTGCCCTGCCCTCTGCCTGGGCCAGGAGGGGAGGTCAGGAGTCCCCTCTTCCCGCAGGTGCAGACGGTCCTGGCCTGGACGAATCTTTGCGGGAGAACAGCTCTGAGGCAGTGGTCTGTGGGGCAGGGGGCTGTGGGGACACAGGAGAGCACCCAGGCCAGTGCCCACCTGCTCCGTGGCCCCTCACAGGGCAGGGCACCCTGCAGGCTGCTCTGGGCCCCTGGACAAGGGATTACTGCCCCCCCCACACACACACCTAGAACAGTACCCTTGGGGCAGCAGGTCAGGGCCGATGGGGGTCGCCTCTGTCCAAGGTAGGAAGCCCCCTGCCTCACTGCAGGAGCCTCAGTGCTGTCTCCCATGGGTGGCCTCTGGCCAGCGCCCGGGGAGATGCTTGCTGTGGTGCCCAGCCAGGCTGGACTTCCTGCTGCAGGCCTCCTGTTCCGAGAAGCTGGCCCCTGGGCCACGGGCACTGCCCTAGCATCTGCCCCTGCCACCCACTGGCTGCATCCAGCTTTGCGGGCTTGGCAGACCTGGTGGCCTGGGTGTCTGCTGGCCGAACCCAGGCTATGGGAGGGGGAACTTGTGGAAGGAGACCCCATGCTGGGCCCTTCTGCAGGGAAGTATGCCCCAAAGGGCCCCAGGGCCCAGCAAAGGAGACTGTCCTGGAGGGGCCCAGGGGCCCAGGGGCTGGCACACATAATAGGGGAAGCCACCTTCTTCAGAAAGTGGGACTAACACACGGACCAGGAGTCAGATAGGGACGGGGTGCCCCATGGTGACTGATGGGGTGCCCTGTGGTGACTGACAGGGGACAGGGAGCCCTGTGGTGACTGACAGGGATGGTGCCCTGTGGCACTCAGGTGGCGCTGTCCTCAGGACAGCTGAGGAGTTATAAACAGGAAAGCCCCAGTGGGCTGCAGGCCGGCTCACCACACCATGCCTCTGTGTGGCAGCACTCACTGTGACAGACATGACCCCGTGTGATGGACACTGGCACGCCGGTGCCCAGCACAGGCCCAGGCCTCCACCTCTGTGCTCACACTGACCCTGTCCCCCCACCTCTGCCCATGGGCCACCGGGAGCTGTCACCTGCTGGGCGTGGACGCGCCTCGGGGAGGGGCCGTCGCTGGGCAGCCTAGACTCTCTGTCTCGGTCGGCCACTGCCCCCCACCGGCTCCTTCCTCTCTGGATTGTTTTCCGAACAATTTGCTTAATGTGATTCCTGGCGGAGCTGAGCGGCCGACAGGCGGCTGCCCCTGGACGGGGCGGGCCAAGCCCCTCACTGCCCCGCCGTCTCGCCTTGCAGGGACCGTGGACAGCTGCTGCTGGCCAGCGCTCCGGGGGCTGCCATGGAGCCTCTGTTCCTGGCCTCCACGCCCAGCTGGAACGCCTCTGCCCCCTCGTCGGCGGCCGACCCCGGCAGCCACAACGGGACGCTGGGGGGGCTGGCGCCCTCGGTGGGGGCACGCGCAGTGCTAGTGCCCGTGCTGTACCTGCTGGTGTGCGCCGTGGGGCTGGGTGGCAACACGCTGGTCATCTACGTGGTCCTCCGGCACGCCAAGATGGTGACGGTCACCAACGTGTACATCCTGAACCTGGCCGTGGCCGACGTGCTCCTGGTGCTGGGGCTGCCCTTCCTGGCCACACAGAACGCCATCTCCTACTGGCCCTTCGGGCCCGTGCTGTGCCGCCTGGTCATGACGCTGGACGGCGTCAACCAGTTCACCAGCGTCTTCTGCCTGACCGTCATGAGCATGGACCGCTACCTGGCCGTGGTGCACCCGCTGCGCGCGGCCCGCTGGCGCCGCCCACGGGTGGCCAAGCTGGCCAGCGCCGCCATCTGGGCCTTGGCAGTGCTCATGTCGCTGCCGCTGCTGGCCTTTGCCGAAGTGCAGGAGGGCTGGGGCACCTGCAACGTGAGCTGGCCCGAGCCCGTGCGGCTCTGGGGCGCCGTCTTCATCACCTACACCTCCGTGCTGGGCTTCTTTGGGCCACTGCTCGTCATCTCGCTGTGCTACCTGCTCATCGTGGTCAGAGTGAAGGCGGCCGGCGTGCGGGCGGGCTGTCCCCGGCGCCGGCGCTCTGAGCGCCGGGTGACGCGCATGGTGGTGGTGGTGGTGCTCGTGTTTGTGGGCTGCTGGCTACCCTTCTTCCTGCTCAACATCGTCAACCTGGCCTTCCCACTGCCCGAGGAGCCCGCCTCCGCCGGCCTCTACGTCTGCGTAGTCGTGCTGTCGTACGCCAACAGCTGTGCCAACCCCGTGCTCTACGGCTTCCTCTCCGACAATTTTCGACGCAGCTTCCGGAAGGTTCTCTGCCTGCGCAAGGGCCACGGCCCCGAGGACGCCGACCCTGGGGAACTGCGGCCACCAGAGCCCGCACTGCCTGTGCCCAGCCCTGAGGCTGGCAGGCCCGTGCAGACCAGCAAGCTGTGACGGACGCGGGGACGCAGGGGCTGAGCACCAGGCCTTGGGGTGCATGGCCATCCCAGCCCTGTGCCCCGACATGCCCCTCAGTCTCTGCTCTGGCACAGAACATCCTGAAGGGGATGGCCCCAGTCCCCGTCAGCCCCTGGGGCAAAGACAGCAATTTTCCTGGAGGGCCGCTGAGCTGGTGGACACATCTTCCTGACCATGCTGTGAAAGGAAGCCGTGCAGCCTGCTGGTTCCTGGGGCTCGTGTGTGTCCCCGCTCAGTTGGTCGCTGCAGCCCTGAGGGATGGCTCCGTGGTGCAGGCGAGCACAGTCAGAGCCCTCCCCGCCCCGCTGCCCGGAATGCCCAATGCCCACTGGACGCTCTGAGGTCCCCTGGGAGAGGTGTGAGGCACTGCAGGGCTGAGGCAGTGTGGGTGTCCCGGGCACCCCAGGCACAGGTGGCTTTGCTGGACTGGTTCTGCCCCAAGGGCCGGCAGGGCAGCCCTGGTTGGGGGGGTGCAGGGGCGGGATGCCCAGTGTAGACAGTAGTGTTGGGGAGCAAATGGCAGGCCCTCAGGGGTGCCTGTGGCCCAAGTCTGAGCTGCCTGGGCCCGGAGGGGGCCCAGCCTGTGGACCCAGCCTTGCTGAGCGTACAAGGACCGTTTCAGGCTACCCTGTCTGCCCAGAACAAGACCCAAGACCCCCGCATGGACCCTGCCCTCGTGTCTGGCAGCCTGCTGCTGCAGCCATCTGGACAATAAATGTTTGATTCGTTCCCAATGCAAACACTGAGCCGGAGCTGAGGGCGGCAGAGCAGAGCGCCCAGGAGCGGGGGGTCACCGGGCAGTCAGACAAGGCTGCTGTCCTCTGCCGTTAGCCGATGGCCTGGGAAGTGGGGTCAAGAGCAGGGGCACCCCAGGAGGGCGGCCAGGAGGCTCCCGGCAGCTCTGGGTTCAGCACATGCAGGTGTGAGCTAGAGGTTAGCCCAGCCCTGCCCAACTGGGGACCAGTATCCCGAGGGGGCACAAACCTAGGGGGTACCAAGGCCTGGCCAGCTGCTACCCCTCCCAGGATGTGGCCCCCAGACATGGATGTCAGGGGCAGCTGCGTGGAGTGAGGCTGGGGAGCGAGCAGATGGCTCGGAAATGTACCCAGATCAATCTCTCCTGATTGATTTGACATTAAGGGCGTCTGTCACCCAGGGTCTGGCCAGCAGTGCCCTGCCAGGGTGCAGAGGCCAGCCGGTGTGAGTGCACATGGGTGCCTGTGCATGCAGAACGTGCGTCATGTGTGACCTGTGTGTGGTTATACGCACGCATGTGTGGGTGTGTGCCAAGTGCTCACGAATGCACACACACGGGCAGGGACATGTCTGGTTTTGTGTACACGTGTGTGTGTGCACTCTCCTGTGTGTGTGGACGTGTGTGTGCACTCCCAGAGCAGCCTGCACCTCCGTAGCACCCGCAGAACAGTCGGGAAGCGGCCTGCTGTGCTGTGCCCAGCCGAGGCCTGGCGCGGGGCCTGGGGTACCTCCTCTGCAGGTCCTCTGGGTCCTTCCTGCCCCCGTTTCCTCACTGAGCCCCCGTCTCTGAGCTATCCAGACTCGGAGGACCCCACCCAGGGGAGACCCTGGGAGACAGTGACACCAGCTGTCAGGCAGTCCGGAGCACTTCCTGCGGGCTGGGGGACCTCTGAGTCTGTGCCCACCCCTCTGGCTGGAGCGCCCCGTGACCCCGGTTCCCCCTCAGGGACTCTTCATGGCTGCAGACCACAGTTGGCCACACTCAGAGGAGCTCGGCAGAGTGGATGGGGTGTGTGGAGGCCGGGGTGCAGGAGGCATGGCCGGGGGAGGAGCCAGGACACAGACATTCACTCCCAGAGGCACCGGGACAGTCCTGGCCGGGGCTCTCACTACTGCGTCCGCTTCAGTGGGTTTTATGGGGCCCCAGCTCCAGCGACTCCCAGGGCGACCCTAGGCAGGACATCCGGCTGGTGGGAGCTGGGGGGAAGGCAGCATATATTTACCCAACAGGGCGGGGTTCAGGGAGGGAAATGCAGGCTGGCCCCCGGCAGGAGGGAAGTTGGGGTTCCCTCCTCCATTAGCCTGCTGCTTCTGTAGGGATCCCAGGGGCTGCGGGGTAAGCCTGAGAGACGGGGATACCCAGAGGCGGAGCCAGAGTACAGGGGGCTGCACTGGCTGGGGTTCAGCCCTCAGGAACAGAAGAGGCTGTGGATGGAGCGACCTGCCTGCAACGCCTGTGCTCTCTGCGCCCACCGCAGCCAGGAGCTCCCAGGCTCAGGCGCCCCTTGGGCTCTGCTTGGGTACAGATGCTGGGGTGTGGGGTCAGAGTCAGTGACCAGCAGAGCCATGGGATGGGCTGGGAGTGGCCTCTGCAAGTTGTTTTGATGGTCCTTACCAGGCCACCCTGCGGCCAACCGTCCTGGTACTCCACTTAGCCATGGGTGTTGGGGGCTTTGGGACAGAGGCAGGTACTGGCTGTGTCCAGGCCCCCATGGTCCATCTCGCATCTGTCCCCCTGTGTCTTAGTCACAGTGTTGATGAAAGCCACCCACCTGTGGGCAGGTGCATAGACAGGCATCCAGCAGAGGATGGGCACTGAGATACGTGGCACGTGGATGCTTTGGGCACGAAACATGGCACAAGGCACTCGGTGGGTTCTGCCGGCAGCTCTGGGTAGACTCAGCTGCCCACCTAACCCCTGCATTGTCTCCTGAGCTGATGCTTCCCTGGGCAGCTGCCCAAGGCAGGAACCCCAGTGGCCATGGAGACTGGATGTGTCAGGAGCAGGCCAGGCTGCCTGGCTGTAGGGGAGGGCAGAGCGACCACCCATCTGGTCCCTACTCACACCAACCCCAGCCAGGACCTGGCCAAGCACACGGCCTGGGAGGCACGGGGAGGCCTGGCACATGGCGGCAGCTGCACAGACTACCCCCTCCCCCGTCCCACGACTCCCATTAGCACTCAGGGGCAGCCTCGAACACACCACCCAGCTCATCCCACCCTGCCTGCCCCAGGCTGGGCTGTGTCTAGCCCCCAAGAGGCTCTGCCTTGCTTGTGTCACACTTGGCTTCCCACTTCACTGCTGCATACAGTTGGTGCTCAAACATCACTGCCTGTGCTTCACCTTTTGCGGTGTGTGGGTGAGGGCTTGGCACTGGCCTCCCCAGGTGCTCGGCAGCCGGCTTGACCAGGTGGTCGCTGACAGTGATGGGTGGGCCCACGGTGGACAGCACTGTGCTGGCTCATGGAGCAGTGGCCACCCTGCAGCTCACCTGCAGCTCCGGACATGCATGCTGAGGCCCAGCAGGCAGAATACAGGCACCATGCAATGGTCTGGCCAGGACCAACAAGTCAGAGCCAGCTCCCAGCTGGACACTCCCGGGGTCCCATGAGCTGCTAAGTCCAGGAGTGGGGCGTTGTGTTGGGGGTTGGGTCAGACAGGGCCACCATACTGTATGGGCACCTCAGCCTCCCTGCAGGGGACCCTCCATGCCAGCACACCCCTCAGCTGATGGGCAACTTTGCAGGTCAGCAAGGTCAGGGTGGTCGCAGATCAGCAGGGACCACAGGTTGGTAGGCCTCCAGGTGCTGTGGGGCAGAGTGACACCCCAGGGCCCTGGGTCCCTCTGTGCTGTGACCCTGGGCTCTGCCGTCCCTGGTTGTGGATGTGCAAACTGGCCAGAGATCGTGTCCCGTGGTCCAGACCACCTGTTGGGGTGACCCCAGTGTGGCCAGACACACCCCCCCTTTAGCTTCACTGCAAGGCTGCCCTGTCCGTGTGCAGTGGTGACCAGTAAGGAGACTGAGGGACCCCGGGGCATGTCCCCCCAGGCTGAGAGGCTGGCAGGGACTGGTTATGGTGTCTCGGCTCTGCTGTCCACACTCCTGACCACTGCGGCCGATCTCCAGTCCCCAGACCTCACCTGGGCTGGCGGAGGAAGGGGCCCCAAGTCCATGACTGCCACAGGGAAGCAACCCTGTGTTTACTGCAGGCCCGTATGGGCCTGGGGCAGGCGTGCCCAGGGCAGTGGTCAGCAAGCAGAGGGTGACTCAGCCCCGTCAGGACACTGAGGCTCTGGACAGAAATAGCCTGGACGCAGACACAGCCGCCGCGTCTCCGTGACGACGGGAGGCCGCAGTGGACATCCGGCAGGGTCACGGTGGCCTGCCCGGGCCTGAGGGACAGAGATGGGGGCAGCTAGCCTCTCCTGAGCATCATCCCTTCCTCAGTGGGCAAGGTGGAAGGCGCTGGTGCACTGGGGCTTGGAGGGCTGCAGTGTGCCCAGCCAGGCTGTGGACTGGTGCTAGTGCCTGTGCTGCAGTTGTAGGCCTGATGTCCAGGAAGGGGTGGGCCCAGCCACAGCTGCTGGGGCGCTGGGTGCTCTGGGTGCAGCCCCCTGCTGGGGGTGACGTGTGGGCAGCTCTGGGGAGACTGGGTGCTGGAGGAACAGAGGGCCGACTCCGGGCTGGGGCAGAGGACCTGGCAAATAGAACCCAGCTGACCCCAGGCGTGGGGCCCCTGCAGGAGGATGCTCCCTCCTGCTCATCCAGAAGGGTGTGGCCTTCTCTGCCCTGCCTTGAGGGGTCACTGACAGCCCAGGGCTTGCACACCCAGGCCTCTGCCCAGCACCGGGATGGCCTGCAAGAACTCTGCCCCTGATTGGGGGGGGGGAGGGCCGCTGGGCTGCACCAATGCCCTTTGTGGGACGCAGGCCCTGTGTCCAAGAGACCTCAAGGTCAGTGCTGGGCAGTGGGGAGCGCGGCGTCCCCACTGCAGGGGCCTGTCACCTGTCCGTGGGGCCCAGGTGTGGGAGGCCAGTGGGCAGCAGGCAGCCTCCTAGGAAACGCGCAGAGCCAGCAGCGGCGGGAAGTAGAGCGCCACCTGGTGCCTGCCGAGAGCACCGACCCGGCCTGCCGGAGGGCGCAGCTGGGCCCGGGACCTCCACGTGGCCGGGGGCAGAGGCCAGCACTGAGCACAGTTCTACCCAGAACCTGGTCGGGTCACACCCCCAGGTAGGAAGGAGTTCAGGGGCCCTGGGGGTCACTTCCACTCAGCTCCCCGCGCCCAGCCCTGGGCCACAGCAAACCTTTGTTTACCTGTTTCATTCTTTAAAAGGCAACGGCGGCAGGGAGATCAGCATTTGTTGCCTCCTTGGCTGCACCATCCAGGACTGGGCAGATGGAGGCCAGAAGCCTGCAAAGGGGCACCTCCCATTCCAGAGCCCCCACCCCTGTGAGCCTGTGAGGGGTGTGGGCCCCCTCTTGTCCCAGCCAGGCCGAGTTGAGTCTGTGTCTGTCTTCTGCCCCCTTCCCCGGGGTGTCCTATACTCTGGGTGTGTCAGCCACGTTAGGAACAGCTAGGATTTGAACCCTAACTCTGGGTCCCCAGGGTGCAGGGTCCCCAGGTGGGGTGCGTCTGTGTCACCCAGAGCCTGAGAAGAGGCCGTGGGCGTCCCACGGCGATGGTGAGCATGATGGGCAAACCAGGAGGCCAAAGTAGACACTGCCTCACGCAGCTACCCGCAAGTGGGGCTCTCAGATGGCCCCCCAGCTGAGGCCCGGGGGTCGTCCCCAGGCACAGGCGTCAGGCTTCCACAGCCTAAATGGGGATGGGGCCTAGCTGTGGGATGTCTTGGGTCAGACCGGGGCTGGGCAGCTGCAGGGAAGGGGGGTGTAGTCTGCCCTTAGCAGAGGTGCCAGCACCAAGGCCTCACCCCCACAGCAGGCTGGACCTCTCCTCCGGGAAGCCCTCAGTGCCCCCCTCCACCAGCCTTCTGATTCGCAGCCACCGTTGGCCACATGGAATGACGGGCGTGCCTCTTCCCAGGCCAGCTGGGCTCCGTGGCCCCCTGGACAGTCTCACTGGCCAGGCTCCTCTTCTCCCCTCTTTGTCCCCTCAGAGATGGGAACCCCATCCCCGGGGGTGCTGATGACAGCTCCACGTAGACCCCGCCCAGCCGTCTGTGCCAGGGCCCCTGTGGTCAGCGCTGTGGTCAGCACCAGCCACACTCAGCCTGACAGGAGCCTTCCCCAGGGCTGGAGTCAGCCTGCTTGACCCTGACAGCCGCCCCCGACCCTCACTCCAGCCCGCGGACCGAGCCAGGCTGCCGAAGGAGAGTGAAGGCCAAGGTGGCCTTTATTACTGGTAGCCGGCCAGCTGGGACACAGTGGGGTAGCGGGCCCGCAGGGTCAAGCACTTGTGGCGGTCGATGCAGAGGCTGTGGGTCTTGACTGCAATGTCCTTCTCCAGGTCCAGCCGTGTGTCCTCCAGGTTGTGCAGCACCTGCTCCGCCTCCAGCAGCTTCTCCCGCAGCGCTGCCAGCGACTGGTTCAGCTCACCGACCTCGCTCACCAGCCTGCAGCCGCCCGGACCCCACAATCAGAGAGGGCCGGGTGGGGGTGCTGGTGTCACCCCTACCCGCAAGGCCCAGAACCCGAAAGGGCTCCTTTCCGGGGGCACAAGTTTCAGGAAGGAGAGGGACGAGGTCGTCCCTGGGCTGGGAGGGGGCCACACCCCACGTAGTTGGGCAGGCCACGCTGCAGTGCCAGGAACACATGAGCAGCCTCCTCCCTCAGACCGCCTCCCCCTGTGGGGTGGGACCTGCTGGAGGGACCGGCTGGGCTCGCGGGAGGCGGCATGGACAAGTGCAGGCCCAAGAGTGGGGCACCTGAGCTGGGCAGTGTCCCGGCACAGCTCCACCCCGGGCCGGTGCGAGCGCTGGTACAGCCGCGTCTGGGCCACGCGCAGCGGCGCCTCCTTGTCCTTGATGGCCTGTCGCAGCGCCCCGACGTTGTGCTCCTGGGTTGAGATCTCCCGCAGCGTCTGCAGCAGAACCAGGTCAGGCCTGGGCTGGCTCCCCACCCCACCCGGGCACTCGGGTGCCCACCGGGGCTGCGCTCCCCACCTTCTGCAGGTGGTCCTGCAGCTTGTGGCGGGCATCCTCCAGCTCCTCGCAGCGCTGCCCAAAGGCCAGGGCCACGGCGTCGCACTGCAGCCGCAGGTCCTCCGACACGTCCCTCAGGATGCAGTCCACAAGCACACGCAGGTCGGCCGAGGCCAGGCGCTCCCGCTCTGCCCGGAGCAGGTTGTCCTGGGTGAACCTGGCCCAGGACTCCGGCGTGGAGGCGCTGCGGGGTGTGCGGGGCAGCGGTCAGTCCTGGGCCGCCCTGTCCCGCCTGCAGCCCTGCGGGCCCCACACAGCCGCGCCCCCGCACTCTGCCTTGCACCCGGTCCAGCGGCGGCCAACGTGCCCACCTCTCCTCGAAGGCGGTGGAGTGCGGGTGGAAGTGCGCCTCGGTGCTCTGGCTGTGGTAGCGGGAACAGGTCTCGTCGATGTTGTAGGCCTGCGCCTTGTCTGACCAGTCCATCTCACAAGTCTCCTTGTGCTCACGATTCAGCCTGCCCAGCAGGTCAGCCGCTCAGCGCTGACCTCAGCTCCATGCCAGACCCTTCACCCGGCCAGGCCCAGCCCCAGGCCCAGCCCGCCCCAGGCCCAGGCCCGCCCCAGGCCCAGCCCGCCCCAGGCCCAGGCCCACCCCAGGCCCAGGCCCACCCCAGCAGCCCACCGGATCTGGTTGACAGCCTGCATGATGGTTCTCTTCAGCAGCTCCTGGACGTTCCGGATGAGCTCGGCCTCCTAGGGGTGAGGTGGGGCTGGGAGAGACCCCTTCTGAGCACGGGGCTCCCCCACCCGGACCCTGGGACCGCCTGGCTGGACCAGCTCTTTTGCTGGACGCCTGCTCTGGGCCAATGGGGCTGCTGGGGGGTGGGGGGGAGCTTTCTTGAAGGCTGCGGGAAAGGAGTCGCCCCCCTCCTCCCCAGCGCCCCGCGTGGCTCCTGTGAACCCCACCTCCGGGTCAGGCCCATCGTGTGGGACAAGGAAGCGGCACTCGGGCTTCCCGCAGGAGCCTGGGGTGTAGCGGGCTGTCCTCTCCGGGCAGGGCCCGGGAAGCGCCGCACCTTCAGCAGCTCCACCTCCACGCGGTCCCGCACCAGGTCGGGGGCCTGGCGGCGCTCGCGGCTCTGCAGGTTGTCGGTGGTGATGGAGAAGGGCAGGGCCGTGGCGTCCAGGGCGCGCTCCAGCCGCTGCTTCTGAGCCAGCAGCAGGTCGGTCTCGGCCAGCAGCTCGGTCACCTCGCGCTGCAGCTCGGACATCCAGCCGTGGGCGTCCTGCAGCCTCTGGCCCACCCTGCGCGTGGAGTCCTGCTGCGTGCGCTGCGCCAGCGCCTCGGTCTCGGCCGCCAGCTGCCCGCTTTCCTGTCGCTGCCGCTCCGAGCGGTCGCGGTCCGAGAAGGCCTGGTGGTAGCGCGCGTAGCCGGCCTGAAACCACTCGTCCACCAGGTACTTGGCCGTGCGGAAGCCGGCCGTGGCCAGCCCCGAGGACGAGTAGGCGCCCGTGTTGCGTGCCACCTCATACTCCTTGCGGGGCAGCTCGCAGGCCGGCACCGTCTGGGGCGCCGGCTGCTTGGTCAGCAGCACCTCCGTCTGCGCCATGGCGGGACACGAGGGCCAGCAGCACAGCCCAGCGAAAGCGTCCTTCCCGGGTCGCCCCGGAGACGCTGCGCGCGCCAGGGGCCCCGGTTGCCAGGCGACGGGCCCCCGCCTCCAGCCCCTGCCCTTTAAAGGGCCAGGCAGGCCCTGGGCACGTCCAGCGGCCGCCCCCTCCCGCCGGCGGCCCGGGCTGCAGGGTCCGGGGCCCTGGGACGCAGAGGGACTGGGCAGCGCCGGCGGGGTCACGTCCACGCCGGGAGCCCCGCACCCGCCCAGCGGCAGGGATGCCCAGCGATGCCCAGCGCAGCCAGCAGAGGGCGCCGCCGTCGCGGCCGTCGCCCCTCAGCCCGGGAGCCGCGGCTTCCCCAGGCGCCCCCGCCGCGGCCCTGCGCCCCTTCTGTCAGGAACTCCGTGTTCCACCACGGAGCTGCTCCTGGGACCGGGACCCCGGGGCTCCGCCTCGGGTGGGGGCCGGGCCGCAGGGAGGCGACCCTGAGGGACTGGCCGGATCTCGCTTGCCCCCTCCTACTCCCTGGGTTCCCTCGGAAGGGTGCCGGGGACCCTCACTGCTCACACACCCCCTTTGTCTGAGCAGGCAGGGCCAGGCCACCACGCTGGGCAGAGCCAGAACGAGTGCAGGGAGATGGGGGACAGGAAGCTGTCCTGGACCCCGACTCCGTCCTCAGCCACCCAGGCATGGCTGCAGGGAGGTCCTGACCGAGGCCCCAGCGGCAGCTGGCAGCCCAGTGGCCACCCCTCCCCAGGTTCCGTCCCCTCAGCCAGTGCGCTCGTCCAACCTGCAGGTCTGGAACAACGTCAGCTCCTGCCTGGAGCCTGCGTGGGACCCTCTGTCCCCACCTGGGCCTTGGAGGCAGCAGGGTGACCAGTCCAGACCCAGGGCCCTGAGTAGGGTCAGGTCAGGGAGAAAGAGGCCTCTCCAGTGGGGGTCAGGCATGGTCATGAGGGGTCAGTGAGAAGAGGCCAGGTGGGGGGATCTGAGGTCCACGTGGGGGGATCTGAGGTCCACGTGGGGGGATCTGAGGTACACGTGCGATCTGAGGTACACGTGGGGGGACCTGAGGTACACGTGGGATCTGAGGTCCACGTGGGGATCTGAGGTACACGTGGGGATCTGAGGTACACGTGCGATCTGAGGTACACGTGGGGGGACCTGAGGTACACGTGGGATCTGAGGTACACGTGGGATCTGAGGTACACGTGGGGGGATCTGAGGTACACGTGCGATCTGAGGTACACGTGGGATCTGAGGGACACGTGGGGGGATCTGAGGGACACGTGGGGGGATCTGAGGTACACGTGGGATCTGAGGTACACGTGGGATCTGAGGTCCACGTGGGGATCTGAGGTACACGTGGGATCTGAGGTCCACGTGGGGATCTGAGGTACACGTGGGGATCTGAGGTACACGTGGGGATCTGAGGTCCCACGTGCGATCTGAGGTACACGTGGGAATTGAGGGACACATCAGGGACAGAGGCTTCTGTGACAGGAAATTGGTACTGAAAGCAGGCAAAGGCCTGGGCACCCCAGCCCGGGGCGGGGCAAGGCCGTTTCCTCTGCCACTCAGGCTGCTGCGGCTTTAAGAAGGCCTGGAGAGCTCAGGGATGCTGCCCGTGGACTTGAGGAGTCCTGCTCCAGCCGAGCCCTCGGCATGCCTGGTCTAACCAGACCGCGAGCTGCATGGTGCTGTCAGCACTCAGTCCCCAGCCCAAGGCTTCCGCCAGGCAGTACCCTATGCTGCACCCTGGGAACGTCCCTGGGCTACGCAGAGCTCTCAGGGGGCCGTGGCCCTGGGCCCCTACAGTGGGGAGAGGCCTGCGGCTCCTCCAGAAACTGTCCTGCTCTGGAGCCCAGTGGGATCAGGGTGAGTACAGCTGGGCCCAGAGGAACACAGGAACACACCACCCAGGAGCTACCCAGAACTGCCAGGGACCACCCCCGCTGCTCTGGAGTGCACCCCCGGGGTCTCAGGGCTGCATCTGAGGAGTGGGAGCTGAGTCCCTGTGGGGTTCTAGGGGCGCTGCGGGCTGGCGCCTGGAGAATGCCCTGACTGCCCTCCCTGGATGGTGGTGGCCACTGGTCAGCAGTGTTTGCTCCACTTGCACCCCTGGGGACCCCTGGTCTGGGGGCTTGTTAGCATTCTTCCCGGGGTCCGCAGGGACCAGGTAGCCACAACTCTTGGCAAGGCAGTGGGCCCTGCACACCCTCGCAGCCCTGGGAGCAGTCTGGGCACAGCCAAATGCCCGCCTGGGCCTCAGGACGAGGGAGCCCCAACCCCCTGCCCTTCACCTTGGGAGTCCTTGCTGCTGCCCAGAGCTTTGGGGGGTGTGCACCCCCTCCCCCACCTGCCGCCTGTTTCTGGCCCAGCTCTGGCAGACGTAAAATCTCTGCTAAATCCTGCATTTAATTTTGTTCTCCGGGAAATTGTGGGAGGTTTTGTAGATAAGGTTGAGCCGATAAGCCAAGGATTTGGCTGTTTCCACAGGGACTCCCCACCCCGCCTCAGTCGCCCAGGCCTGAGAGGCCACTCTGCCCTCACCCACTCTCCGGGCGAGGGAGCAGGGGCCAACTTGGGGTCTGTGGGCTCGGCATGAACCTGGCCCCTCCTCAGGCACGGTGCCCCTGTTCCTCCCGCTTCCCTGCTCCTGACCTCAAAGAGTGTCTTCCTCCAAGACCCTGTAGCCCCCCAAGGTGGGCCGCAGCCAGGGTGGGGACAGGGGCATCCCGGGTAACCTGCCCTTCCACAGCCTCCGCTCCCCGCGCCCCAGGAAGGGCAGCCCTACCCTCCCAGATCTGCAGGCTGTGAGGCCAGTCAGGTGGCGCAGCGCCGGCCCTGTGGGGCTTTCTCCCAGCCTGCAGAGGGCCGCCTCATCCCTGTGTCCACCATGCAGTGGGCACACGGCCTCTGCATGGTTCTCACACCCCCGTTCCTCCTCCTCCCTCCTCCACTTCTAGGGTCTGAGATGGGGAGGGTCTGTCCTTTCCAGCTCTGAGGACCCCCGCCTCCCCAGGCTGGTGGCTGGAACAGGCCTGAAGTTTGGGCTGGACTGAGTTGTCCAGGGGCCAGAGGGGCTGGAGGTCAGTGTGGCCCATGTTGGGGTTAGTTGGGGGAGGGCCAAGGACTGACTCTGGCCCAGGTGGGAGCCCTAGCGGAGGGTCCTCTTGACCTCAGGGTGGAGAGAGGGCAGAGTCTCTGCCTCCTGCTTCCCACCAGGCCCTGCCCCTGCGCCTGGGCCTTACTCGGTGGCCTCGCCTGCATCCCCATCCTCTGTGCCACCCTCACCACCCCAGCCTACCTGAAGGGCACAGCCCACCTGCGTCAGAACTAACGCCCCTCGAACCCAGGCTGAGGCTTCCAGTCCCGTCCTTTGGTCCCCAAACCCCACCGCGCCAGAAAGTGGAAACTTCCAGAGCCTGGCCAAGGGTGAGCAGACCCCTGCGTCTCCCTCGCACCCTCCACCCCCACATCCTGCTCTGAACTTTGCCCATGAGAGCCCTGGTCGATGGCTATTTTCAAACTCTTCCATGATGCGTGGGGATACAATAGTATCACTGTCAGATAATGGACTGGATCGATAGGTAGGGTCCCCAGCCAGGAAGGCAGAAGGGGGTGGGGAGAGCTGCTATGCACTGGGCTGACAGCTCACTGGAGGTGTTTGTCCATCCCTGGTGATCTCCTGGGTCCCTGCTCTTCTGGGGTCTTGAGAGGTGGGGTGGGAGCAGCCCTCAGCTCTCTGAGAGCCCCCTGAACTTAGGCAGGGCTGCCTGCAGACCCTTCCCCAACTCTCCGGGGTGTCAAGGGCCAGAGCCCCAGAAAAGGCAGCCTTTGGGGTGAGAGTCAGGGTCCTGCAAGAGCTGATGGAGGAGGCATTCCTATCACTGGGTTAGCAGCACATGGGAACAGGCACACAGCATTCCTGGAATGTCCTGGCTGCACCGGCAGGGGTCCACAACAGCCCCGCCTGGCAGGGCCCTGTCTGTCTCACCTCTCAGGCCAGCAGGTACCATGCAGGCACCTGGAGGCTGTAGCTGAGGGCCGGGTTGCATGGCCATGTGTCCACCCCTCTGCGCTCCTGGATCCCTCGCCTCTGGGACTCTGACAGAGAAGCCAGGCCATCCCATGGCAAGGGGCTTCCACACGCTGGCTGCAAGCACAGCCAGCTCCTGCAGTGGGCCCCTGTGACGGGCACCTGGTGTGCAGGGGAGCAGGGAGGGGAACAGGCTGAGGTGCACAGCCAGGCCGTGCTGCCATGGGGAACCCAGAGGCCCAGGCTGACCGCAAGGAAGATGCATCCACAAATGCTTGGCTGGGCCCTGGGGTGGGCAGGGAGGTGGAGGCAGAGGGGGGCCATGGAGCAACTGCCAGCCCCCTCCACGAGGGCCTCTAACCGTCACCCAGCTCTGCAGGGGGACACAGAGGCTTCTGGGAAGGCTCCCAGAATGGCCCCCGGAAGCCCAGCTGGGAGGTCCAGTTCACACAGTCAGGCCGCCCAGCCCCTAAGTGGCAGGGAGCAGAGAGGTCTCCGGTGCTGCCCCCTCCAGCCTTGACTTGCCCACTGCCCACCATCCTGGTGCCCACAGATATGTGGCGATCTGAGGTACGCGTGGATCTGCTGCACTCTGGCAGCCTGTCTCTCCTGCCCCTACCCAAAGTCGACCTCCAGGACCCTTGGCCTGGACTGGGCTTAGGGAGAGGGAGGGGCTGGGCTGTGCACAGGTTTGCCAGGGTGGGCAGGAAGGTCTCCTGCCACAGCAGCCTCCACCAGCCCCTCCTGGCCCTGTGTCCATTCAAGCCGGGCCGGTGTGGAGCAGGCGTGGTGTGGAGGCGTAAGCGGACCCTTGCTAGGCAGCCGTGCTGCCTTCCTGCGTCTGTCCGTCCAGGGTGAGCTCTGAACGGAACCTGCGCTCCCCCGCACCGGCGCCGGATGCGTGTGGCGGTTGCCTGGCAACCTGCTCCCACGCCAACCCTCGGTTCCTCCTGA